CCCCCCCCTTGCACGTTATTGAGCCGATATGCTTCACTTCGTGTCCTCTGTTTCTGTCTGTCTATCAGTCTGTTTTGCCTCTTCCCAGCACTATAATAGAAGACTGTAACTTGCTCCTTTGTCCACACACTCCAGCCTTCTCTCCCGCTCCGATTTTTTTGTTTTTGTTTTGTTTCACCGATTTCCAAAATTCCAAATACAGGAACAGAATAATGATACTATCTAGATCTAAGGTAAGTGCTGGCTTTATGTGGGGAGAGAACTGCGCATCAGGTACGGGCGGTCGGCGAAGAACGAAGCAGTGGGTCACGCGTGAAGCCGTCACTCGCAAAGACCTGAGTCGTGAATCGTGACTCTCTCATCGACGTCTGCCTGTGACGTAGGCCGCTAGCCTTGCCAGGCACACTGTCGACCCGATGATTTTGGCGGGCAATAGTGCTGGTCTTGGCGGATATTTTTTCATTCTCTTAGAAGTTCAAATTGTGCGGTGGAAGAAGGTATGTGACGACAAGATTGAGCAGGTGTGGTGATCTATGAAGTATTTATTTGGAGAGTTTGGCTAGTTTTTGCTGTTTTAAAAACGGAATCGTTTTAAGTTTATCATGTGTAGATTATATTCCTTAGTATTTTTATATTTGTAGATATTGGACAAGAGAGGTGTAAAGTGAACGTTTACATTGAGGCAGCGTTAACATTTTCATTAAGCAAGTGTAAAATCCAGGTCCGTATTAATTAAGCACGGACGGAGGGGTATTATTCCGTGCACATAATATATGTGATATGTTATGCCCTTCCTTTTGTGTGTGTGTGTGTGTGTGTGTGTGTGTCTAGTTTCACCCTCACCCTCATCCCAAACCCTTACACATTGAACTAGTTTCACCCCCACCCTCAGAGGGTTATTGTTTAGGGGGTAGGGGGGGGGTAAGACGGAGGTTTGAGGATATTTTAAGATCCTCAGGTATGAGGTTTAGGGATGCAGGGATGGGGATGGGGATGGGGTGGGGTGGGGTATGGTTCAGGAGAGGTGTGGTTTTGGAGTAGAGAGTATGTGGGGGGCATTTTTTTATGATGAGGTAGGTATGGTTTAGGAAGTAGGTTCGCGGAAGGGAATAGTATATTATGGTACTGGAGGGAAGAATCCTTTATCGCCTCTTCTTCTTCATCCGTCTCCTCTTTTAGTTCCTTTTCGTTTTCTTATACTCCCATGTCCTTCTTGCATTCTTCCTCCTCGTCCTGTGCCCTTTCTTTATTTCAAACTTCTTTTCTTCCTCACTCCCTCCCTCTCTCTGTCTCCCCTCCTCTCTCTCTCTCCCTCCC